GGCGCCGCACGGGGGGCGGGCGGCGCGGAGGAGGCGGCAGTGGCCATGGCCGAGGCGTCGCCGCAGCCCGGACGGTACTTCTGCCACTGCTGCTCGGTCGAGATCGTGCCGCGCCTGCCGGTGAGGCCCGGGCCGGGGCGGCGGGCGGGAGCTCTCTCCTTCGGCCTGAGGCGAGCTGGCTCCGACGGGGAAACTGAGGCCCGGGCGGCGTCGGCCCGGGCCTCTGCGGAGGGCCCGGAGGCGGGGGCCGCCCCCAGGGGCGCAGCGAGGCCGATGACCCCAGATGCGCGGCCTCCCGCTCCGGGAGGCCGCTCGGTCCCCGATGGGGAAACTGAGGCCCGCGGAGGCCGCGTGACCTGCGCTCGGCACGCCGCCCAGCGGGGGAGAGGTGGGGGGACCCGGGGGCCGTTCCCAGAGCGCGTGGTCGGCGCTGCGGGCGCCTGGCTGCGGGCCGCCCGGTGGAGCCCTCCCGCCCGCTTTCCCGTGGTCGGGACGAGAAGGCGATGGACCTGGGCTGGGCCTGACAGCTGCCCGGGGCAGATCTTTGTGACCCGGGCCTGCGTTTTTGAGCTTCCCGGGGGGGGGGGGCGGTGAGGCCAGCCTGTGGCCAGGTGTTGCTTTTTGCTCATTTAGGGCCAACGTTTCTCAAACCGGGTGGTGCGGGAGGGGGCTGCTTTTTAAAGGTTACAGTTTTCAGGCTCCTCATCCCGGGGGTCCAGGGTGGGACCCGTGTTTCCCTGCCCCAGGCCGGAAGGGAAAGCCGTGGTCCCGTCCGACCCTCTCCAACCTTACAGGTGCAAAATCTGAAACCCGGGGAAGCTCAGGCCAGCCGTGGTCCTGACATTTGCCACTGGGCTAGCTCAGGCGGGACAGGAAGAGGGAGGTGTGGGATTGGGAACCCTCCCCCGCCTCGGTGAAGGGGCTGCAGGCGGTGAGGATTTATTGAGCACTTTCTAGGTGCTCTCCTTGTACTTTATCTCCCGGCGGCATGCTCCCCACAGTCGCCTGGCTAGTGGGTGGTGGATGGTGGATGGTGGATGGAGGGTGTTCCGGTATCAGAGCCAGACTCTGATCTGCCTTTCCAGCTGTGGGGACCCCTGGGAAGAGGGGGCTGGGAGGGGGCTGGGGAAGGAGGCTTTAGGCATCATCCCAGCCACAGAGAAGGAAAGTGGGCTAAAGTCGGGGTGTGGAGCAGAGAGCGGTGTCTGGGCCCAGGAGGCCAGGAAGGGTAGGGAGGTGTGGCTGCCAGAGGCAAGGGGCTCCTTCCTCCTCAGGAGGAGAGAGAAACAAAATGAAACCTCAGATGTGTGAGCACCTGCTGGGGGAGCTGAGACTTGCCCCACTCGGCCTCCCTCCCGGAAGTCCTGCTCTGCCTCTTCCGGCTTTCTGCAGCCCCAACTCGGAATCTTTTTCGACCATGGCAGGAAGGGGCTGGTCCCCTGACAGCTCACCAGCGTAGATTAATTGCATACAGCCCCTTGCAGCTGGCATGAGCCCCGCGACAGGCCCTGGGTCTCGGGCTTCCCCCAGAGTGGCCTGCTTTGTGGTGGGACTGGGCAGTCTGCACAGCTGTCTGCTCTGGGCCTCTCTTCCTGGGGCCAGCACAGGGCCTGGGTCCTGGCCAGGTGTGGCCGCTTCCTGGCCGTGTGGCCTTGGACCTGGAGGACCCTGACCTCTTGCAGTTGTCGCCGGGCTGGTGAGGACCTTCCTAAGCACAGAATCCAGTGGTGTCAAGGTATCCTTGACTTTTGTCCTCAGAGTTTATAGGCTGGTCAGGGAGCCAGTGTTGAGTAAGTGATTGGCAAATATTTAGTTGGGAGTGCTGGTAAATTCTGTAAAAGCAAATAACGGTAAGGAGCGTGCCTGCTTGTGGGTTTGGAATAGGATTCCACGAGGCGCAGTAGACAGGGTGACTGTTGATCAGTAAGGGGCACACCTGATGTTGCGGGGCCGGAAACGCACACTCAGCTAACCTGGTAGCGGTGGAAGGTCCTGGCCCCCGTGGCGGCATGTTCTGTTCATGGGAAGGTGGTGCTGGTGTTAGTGGGCTACAGGGCGTTGGGGCTGGCTTGTGTGCAGTTCCTACCTTAGATTTTTGTCATTGCGGTGGTCCCTCCAGAGGCCCCAGACAGTGCCTGCTTTCGGGGGCTTCTCTGCAGGATCAGGCTGAGGCCACACCCAGCTGTGCCACGTCTGCGCCATGTGGCTCTGGGCAAGGCGCTCAACGTCCCTGGACCTCAGTTTCCCCGCCTGCAAGATGGGTTTGAGGAGCTAATCCGTGCCCACTCAGTGGGGTCCAGTTGGGAGCGTGTGTGTGTGAAGGAGCCCAGCACCTGACCCGCAGGACGCACAGGGACAGGCTTGCGGCCTAGCTGGGGCAGGGCACGTGGGAGCAGGAGCCAGACAGGCCGGCTGGCACACAAGCCCAGACTCGATCCTTCCCGGGAAACGGCAGCGCTCGGGATGCGGTGGATGTGCTGCTGGTTTGGGTGGCGTGACTGTGGGGCTGTGGAAGTGGAGCGTCCATGGTCAGAGCCCGGATGGGCTGGTGGATGGAGCAGGTGGAAGTCCGGGGTCCTCACACCCTGAGCTCCTTGTTGCAGGTGGCGCCTTAGATGGCCCTCTTTCCACCTGTCGTCTCATGATGGTGACTGCTTTCCTTCTCAGGAATGTCCTGAGTGCACGGTTGGACAGAGACTGGGCCTGGAGGGGTGCTGGGGTGCGAACCGGCCTGCCCTCGCGCTCTTCACGCGTCCGCTGCCCTTGCTCCTAGAGGGGCCTGGAGAAGTCCTGGCCCTCAGTTTTTAGCAGAATGAATGGAGTCCTCTCCACGGAGCCCTCCATGGAGCTGGGCCTGCCTCCTAGGCACCATGTGGCCTCGTTCTGGACCCTCTGGCACCTGACAGCCCTGTATGGCCGTGTGCTGTGTGCTGTGCTGGGCCCTGCTTGTGGCAGGGAGGCCCTGCCCCATGGTGAGCCGTCCATTTGCAGCTGCAGAAACTGGGGCCCTGGGGAGGTTAAGTGTGGAACTGACTCCGGTGGTTCGCTGGAAGTGCAGAGCACGGAGTTGAGATCGGGCACCAGGGATGCCTAGGGAGCCTCGATGTGTGAGCTGCCCCACCCCCACCCTGCAGCCCCACACAGTGGATGCTCCAAAGAGGGCTGGTGTTTGCTCAGGGTCTGAAGTCAGCAGGGGCGGAAGCAGGCTGAGCCCCAAAGAGGTGGCTGGATGCTGGGCTGAGCCATGCCCTAGGGCACCCCAGGCCTCTGAGCCATGTGGCAGGCTGAAGTGAGGGGGAACCCCCAGTATAGTGGGCACATGTGTCCTATCCTCTGGCGTCCCGGCTAGCAGTGGTGTCAGAAGCACCCTGGGAAGATAAGGAAGGTGGGATTGGATACCCCTGGGTGGAAACGAGTGCTGGGCTGTGTGTGTGCACATCTCTGGCTCACAGCGGGCCTCACACATTGCCAGGTCCTGGTGTGGCTCCGCACCCAGCGGTGTGCGTGATGCTCACAGATGCTCGGGGGACAGATGGAGTGTGAGCGTGGGGCGTGGTGGCCGCTGCTAAGACCCCAAGAATAAAGTGCGGGGAGGCTGGGGAGTGGTGAGGGGCAGGGTCGGCTTTCCCATGGGGTCTGGCAGGTCCCTCTGCCCAGTGACAGCTGAGAATGGCTGTGTGGGGCAGCAAGTGTGCTCCTGGGGTTCGTGGCTGGTGAGCAGGGGGCTGCAGGGGTGCGGGAGTCCCATCATGTCTGTGTTTGGGCCTGAGTCCGTGTCCCTCCGATGTCTGCACCGCACTTGGACTTCTGCCTCCTCTGGAGGAGCCCTGACGGGCCTGGGCCTACAGAGCCCAGCGTCACCATAGAGCAGACCATCCTGTGGGGCCAGCCACCTCTCTGACGCCCGCTGAAGTTTCCCGGATGTAACCGTACTTGCCTGGCCATGGTGTGAAGGGGTGTATGAATGAGGGCTGGTTCCTGTTCCTAAGGGCCATCCTGGCTGACCTCCCTGTCGCTGAGGAGGGCTGAGTCGCACCACCTAGGCGCATCATGGGGGCTGAGCACAGGGAGCGAGCGCTCAGTGAATTTAGCGTCCTGTCCTCGGTGCTGTGGCCACCACTGTTGGTGATGATGCTGGGGTGGTCCCCTCCCTCCCTCCTAGGGGGAGAGGTCACTAATTCACCATGAGGAGCCATCGGTTAGAGACAGGTGCTCACACTTGAGGGCTGGGAGCATGGGGCTGCCACCACCTAGACCCAGGCTCGGTAGACAGGCTCTGCCTTGTGGGCCGCAGACACTCTGTCCAGGGTCTCCTTGCTTGGCTGCAGTTTTCTATTACTGGGTACTCAGGGTTGTTTTTTTTTTTTTTTTTAAGATTTATTTATTTATTTATTTATTTGAGAGAGAGAGAATGAGAGACAAAGAGCACGAGAGGGAAGAGGGCAGAGGGAGAAGCAGACTCCCTG